CCGGCCGCCGGAGCACGGAGGGAGCGGCGGATGGAGGACGCGGTCGTTGCGGAGCCGGTCGGCACGGAGGATGACGAGTGACGAGTGAGGGATGGGAGCGTGACGTGATGAAAACGAGTGATGCAGTGCAAGCGAGACGAGTGAGGCACAGCCGGATCGGGCGAGCGAACCTGAGTGCCGGATCCGGCGCATCGACAGGAAATTTTGGATCTCGAACAAAGGGAAGACACGGGGACACCAGGCGTGGGTCAAGAGACTTTTGCCTCAAAAATTCATACTTGTCTGAAGGGGAAGGTATAAAATGCCGCATCCGCCTTCCAAGCGATCTCCGGTGTACAAAGCTTCATGTCTATCCCTCCAAACTAGGATACCAACAAGAATGCTAGTAAACAAATGCATGAAACAAATCTGCAGTTTCTAGATTTCAAGTTGCTCTGACCTGGTCCCACAGGCCTTCGACTGCACCTTGCGCACGACGCGTGAGCCTCCAGCAAAAGTTGCTGGACGTCAAACGTGCCAAGACTAGGTTTTTGAACGTGTACACAAGATTTCCTTTCTTTGGAACACTTGCCCCTCAAATCCTCATGGCCCTGCCACACATTACCCAGAGACGGTTCTTGACGACAAGACTCCCTCTCTCCCGCTTCGACATGTTGGTTGGACAGTGTCAATGGAGCCGTTCTAAAAAAGAAAACAACCACAAAGATGGAATTCAATTTGCTGCAAGCAATTCTCCTTTCTTGGACGAACGCACGCAATCTGAGTGTCGGAACCATCTCACAAAGCCCGACGTGCCCATCCACGTCGGCACACGAAAACTGCTGCTCCGGTGCGACCAGAAGCTCGGACTCCTGACCCGTGAAAAACCGGACCCACAAAGCTTTCCAACCGGGCCACCGTTCCGGGGGTTGCTCTGTTCTGAGAGAACCCACAGAACCACCGTTGACAGTTGACTGACCAACATAAAAACCGGCACGAGGGGCATCTGAGATATGATTTGAGTGATGTTTGGTTGTCAAGTTCCTTGCAGGAAAACCAAAAATGTAGCAATGCAAAACTATTCCAGAACCTCATGGTCCCTTCGGTACTTCGAAAAAATGAAACACATGGTTGGGAAAAGACATGGATGATGCCCAATCCCTTCGATTGAAACATCACTCTGCCCGGGTCGAGAATCACCTTTACCCATCCTTTGATTTCACACTCCGAGAAGAATCCACGGGGCTACCAGCTGTCCTTGGGTCCACCACACGTGGTCTTTGAGGCCTGCGGCGCTGCACTTGGTTTGGAACATGTGAGTGTCTTCCAAATGTGTTTCCTGATGGAAATCAGTCACAGTCCAACAAATGTTTATTAGCGAAACAGCTGCTGATGAAAGCTTTCCAAAGCTGCAGCACTTTCCACCAAAACTGAGTTGTTCAAGCCTGCAGCCACATCGCGGCAGATTTTTCACATCCAAAAACATCGTGCAGACGGAGCTGCCAGAAAAGGAATTTATCCTGTGTATGTGTGTCAACATGTGTCAAAATGTGTCAATGATCAATGACGATTGGTACCAAAACATACACTGACCTCACGATTGAACTCACAAAAATATTACGTTTAACCAAAACCTTGGTTTTCAAATGTTGCAAGCACCCACGAAAATCGTTAGCAAATCAGTGATCACCCTGCCACATCTGCAACTGAATCAACAACATGAAATGCCAATGCGTGGCCAAATGTTTTTTGCACTGAATTTCTTGAGAAGCGGGAATAAAGCGCAAACATTCCATGCACATACACACCCGACGTCCAAATTGTTTTCTCCAAACTAATGTCCAATGCCAACAAAGTTTTGCATGATCCAGTTAGGATGCAGATTGTTTGCTGCACAGAAAGTTGTACAGACACTGTTCCTCCAGACAATTTTTGAGACTGCCTTGTCAAATGCAAAGAACCAAACAAATTGCATCCAATTTTTAAACCTTGGCACGCACCCTTCAGGGTTCAACCCTCCAGTGTCGCATCTCATTCATTTTTTCTGTTTTAGGTTGTACAGAAATATAGAATTGGAAAGGGGCAACCTTTGTGGGAACGTGCTTGGCCCCAGGTAGGAACATTCATGCCCACCCCATGTGGTGGCACCACAAAATTGTTCCGATCCCCTCAGCCATGGGAGCTGGGCGCAATATTCAGTAGCTGCGTGAAATGTCCAAGCTTGACCACGTCCGGAATTTATAGAACGTCCCAACGAAAGATCCAAACTTTTGGTCGTGCTATGTTTGGGGCAAATGACGGTGCCGTGAAATCAATGACAATCATGAGGCATCAACCACAAACGGTGCCCAACTCAAAGTCTCGCACGCAGGTTGCGCCGCCATCACCCCCGCCACAAAATCTGGACGCCATTCAACAACCACGACATCATTTCTTTAGAGCCTCCTGGCACAAACAAAAAAAGGCCTCACCGTGACTTGACGGAGACTTGAAGGTTGCAAGGCCACAGCGAACTCCAACCCAAGGTTCGAAGGTTCGAACATTTTCGAACCCCAACCCAAAGTTAAAGTTTAAGTTAAATCGAACCGCACCAACATTGTTCACACCGACACAACTTGCATTCGTCAACTCGCCTAAGACCCTTTACAAACATGTTTCAATGTTTTTGGAAAGTGCCTGAGCGAAGAATGTTGTTGGGAAGGTGGCTAAAGGCAACGGTTGTTCGGAACCTTCGTTTTTGGGGTTTGGCTACTGTTTCGAACAGTATTGACATGACTTTTCTGGTCCCAAAGTTTCGACATGTTTTTTTCTACGTTCTCTAGCGAATCGAAGCGAAAGCGAAGCGACATGAGAAGCGAAGCAAAACCACCAACAACTAGAGCAGCCCAAAGGTCCACGGCATCAAGTATGTTTGCAAGTACAAGTAACGTCAATAGAACCCCACCCCACCCCCACCCCATCTATGACGTAGCATCAAATATGTTTGCAAGTACAAGTGACGTCAATCACCCCATCTATGATGTCGCATCAAGTAGTTCACTCCGCACTCCAAACATGATCAGCTCTGAAGACTTCCGCAGCTCGCCCTCTTTTGGATTGCCTGAGTATGCGTGAAGGAGGGTGGGGTTTCTGCTTGCCCCCGCTCTCCGCATGTTTGGAGTGCTTGAACCAAAGCGGTCAACAGCCATGAGAAACATATGGACCGCACTCCAAACATGATCAGCTCTGAAGACTTCCGCAGCTCGTCCTCTTTTTGGATTGCCTGAGTGTGCGTGAACTTGATTCAGTGAGAATTTCCACCCAAAAGCATGTATGAATCAACGCTCAAGAGAACCCCAAAAGTGTGGTGGATTCAGGCACACCAAAAAAGAGGAGAGGAGTGGTGAGCGTTCGTTCTCCCTTGGAGAGGAGGCCCACCACCTGCACGCTGTCCCCTGAGGGAACAAGACCGGTTCGGCGCGCGCCGCCCAGAAATCCTGGAGGGAGATTTTGAAACGGGTTGCGCGTGTGAAACCGAAAAGCGGGTCGGTGACTGCGTCATCAATCCCACCGGCTCAAGCTTTCTCATTTTTCGAGCGCCGGGAATGTGAGGCTATCTAGAGAAGCATTGGAGCGGCATGCCTTTTGCAATCCGAAATTGTCGCGCCTGACCCTCCCGTCCGCGCTTCACCCGAGCCGCAGCTGGAGGATGCGCCAGACATCAGATTCATTTCTGCGCCCACTTCCCGCATCTCGCATGTGGTGGTTTGTCGAAACCACTCACCAAATCAATCTGCGGGACCTTGCTCCCATGGATTCCGCCTCCTGCTGCACTTCAAGCAAAGATCTTTCAGCGCGTGCGAGGAAGCAGCATCCTGAGGCGAAATCATGACCTCGCAATTCCTAGGCTGCCAGCGACAAAGCAAGGAAACTTAACACAAAAGGTGGCCGCCACTACTACCACAGAGGTTAGAAAACGGTTCCTGTGCAAAAAACAGAATGAAAAAATTCGAGACAGTCGAGAGTCAAGCATTTGCCACCACATGCTTGATCTGCACTAACAAGGTGTGATAGGCCCGGACTCACACTGGTGGACATTGCAAAGACCCCTCGATGCTGCTCGAAAGGGGCCGGGCAATTGCCAAAGCTGACTGGACTGGACCGAAAGCTTCGCGCCTGCCAAACACTCCACCTTACAATCGCCTGAACTAAACACGGTGCCCTTATATTCCCTTCCTACTTACCTGACTGCTTTGCAGCATGTTTGAAATTGAAAGGAGAAGAAAGACTAGTTCTTAGACATTGGAGTCGGACAAGTGACAAATGAACCCATTTCTGCTTTTCCTCATCAAGGCGCTTTCCTTGGGTTTGTCCCCAACCCCAGTCTCAGTTTCACACCAAAAACAAACAGCGGGAAAAAAAACTACAACACAACACAATGACATAAATTTGTTTGTTTGATTCAATCACTTGCTTGCTGGACTTCGGGGGTGCACAACGTGGCCTTTGCGTCGCACTTGGGAAAGTACGCAAGTGACAAATGATGCGCAGCAGACCTGATTGAATGAATTACCTGCCAATCTCCGCATTGATTGGTAAGAGCACTTTGTGAAATCAATTGGGGCTGAAGTGTAGCCTGCAGCCCGCCACAAATGCTCGAACACCGGGACAACCTGTGCTGCCAACAGTTCCTGCAAAGGGATCCGGTCCGAGCGCAAGCCCAAACTGATTAAAATACAAACTTGGGTTTGTGACATGACGCAGGCCAAAATTGAACAAGGTACAGTACGTGGATTGATGGATTACGGGTTGACAAATATGGACAAACGATAGTAACGATAGTACAAACGATACATATATATATATAAGCAATCACACACCGGTCCTGTGGTATGAATGCGCGCTTCGCTTGGATGGCCCACCTGCAAACTACTCAGTGGCTGGGTCTGAGTCAGTGACTGCGTTTGTTTATATATATATATAGCATTAACAATCGGATAATCGCAAATCCTTCTTGAGTTTCATTGGGACCTCACCTGGCGTCACCTCTCAATATAGTTGCCAAACCACATGTGAGAAATGCTAGCAAGGATCGTCGGCATGAATTTGCCCGCATGGAGCTGATGCGCTGGGTTCTGGTCGAGGTTCGCTGCAACTTCCTCCCCACATTGCAAGGCATCCTGGACCCGCTTTTGCTGCAGCAAATACTCGAGGTTTGCCCTTGCAGTTGGTGGGAGTAGTTCGTCAAAAGGAGTCCCAGATCCCTTCACGGCAATGTTTGCCAGGAATGCTTGATACTTTTCAACCTCGAAATATGGAAGGCGTGGTGTGGCCAGGTAAGGCAAAGACTGAATCTTTAAACATCTATATATTATAAATATAAATAATCTTTAAGGTCAATGGTCCAAGTCCACGAACTCCACAAAATCAAACTAGTTGGAAAGGAGACAACAGAAAACCAGCGCCTCCTCTGGTGGTGCAGCCAAATGGAGGCATCAACGGTGCACTTGCTTGCAAAGTGATGAAGCGTATCTATACCTTTGACAAGCTGAAAGTGCTCGTGCACCAGGCAGTCATATGCCCGAGTTCGCTTGACCGGGACCCCGAACACCTCACATTGCAAAATAGAGTGGTAGTCTTTGTACGCAGGAAGAAGCTCCTCAAAAACCTTGAACGGAAAACGAGGCGTACCTTCATGGATCACCAGCACGGGCTTGATCCGCTTGCACAAGGAGACGAAAATTGCGAACAATGTCACGTGTATTCCGAGCCAGCCTTTGCCTTTCCCCATTGAGGACCAGTCTTTACAGACTGATCCCGCCACCAATGCCACCTTGCTCGCGTCGGCCAATTCGGACAGGTCAACCTCATGGGGACTCAGGGGTCAGGAGCCAGGGAGGTGACCCAGTGTACACTATATAAAATAAGTGAATCAGTCAGTGGAGAGCCAGGGAGGTGACCCAGTATACACAATGTAAGATAAGTGAGTCAGTGGGGAGGAACCACCTCGCCTGAGTGCCTTCCACTGTGGGCACTTTCTCCTTCAGCCCATTCTTGGAGATGACTTTCAAGTGACTTCATGAGGTTTGTACCAAGCTCCTTGATCTCTGTTTGGACATCCTTGATCTTCTGGTTCAGCGTGTCTACACGGGCGCGACTCCCGCTGAACATCTTCTTCACCTTAGCCTTAGCCTTAGCCTTTTTTCCTTTCGCCTTGGGTGAATTCGGTGGCCTCGTCGCTGCCTTCAACTTGTCCTTCAAAGACTCGAGTTGGGCGTGCAACTGGCCACTCTTCTTTTCAGCTTCATCGCTCAAGGTGCGACACTTGACCACACACTTCTGCGTCAGGAAGTGCATCAAGTTGTCCACGATGCCTTCGGGCGGGTGTTGGTGCGGTTGAAGGACCTCAATGCACTCCTTGGCAATGTCGCACGCCACACGCATTCCTTAGTGCACATTTCACGTAGTCGGAAGGTTGGCAGGATGCATCTGTAGAGTAGCGGCCAGTAGTGGCGACAAAACAACACCTATCTATCTAATGTCAATGAATAACAATAGCCAATAGGGCCAATAGGGAAATCTTTCTAAAATTAATTGTGCTTTGGGGTGGAGTTGGAAGTGGTATTTGACACTCCAAGGACTTCCGATGCGCAGCTTCATATATGTTTCGAAAGAGAAGCTCGGCGCCCCCAAGTCCAGAGAAGAGCGACACGACCTGTAGGTCGGAGATCATGTTGTTGACGCGCACTAGTCCATCAAAACGCTCCAGCTGAAAAACTTGGTCCATCGCGCGACGATGATGCGAGAAGATCTCTTCAATGGTAGTAGGTGCGGCCATTGAATGCTTGAGTTCTTCTCCATTGCCACCGCCTGAGTCAAGCTCCTGGAAGTGGACACATTCAGACTAAACACAAGAGCTATAAGCTACAATGCATGGATGTTTGGATACTTTCCAAAAGCAACAAATGCTCCGTCGACTCGACTCCAAATTAAAACCAGATGCTGGTGCGCTATGCATTTTTGGAAAGGTAAGTGGCCCGTGGCAGTGGCAGCTTGAAAACCGCTGGATTAGAACCCAGCGAATTTGATGCAAATGCAAAGACTAACGAAATTAATCAACACTACATCAAGTGATCTTCCCACTTCACCATGTGAACAGTCGTGGCTGCGCTTCGTGAAAATTGCCCTGGGCATCGCGCAATGTATCCTCCTGGAGTTCCTCCCCAGAATCTTCTGACACAACGATCACATTGTTTGGACACGCCGAAGCTGGACTGGTTTGTGGTTCCAGCGCTACGATCACTTGGTGTGGCTCTGGCTCTGGGTGTGGCTGTGGTAGGTCACCTTGTGTAGAGGTAGAAAGCTTGGCAGCTTCCCTCCTCACCGTCTTGAGCATTTGACTGCACTGTTTCAACGTATCCTGAACCTGGAACAGTGGCATTGTGTGTCGCAAGTGTTGACCTACAAGCCGAACGGACGCTTTCACTTCCTCCCTGACCGCATCAACCTGCCGACTCAAGGCCAAGACATCAACTCCAACTCCGACTCTGCCGATACACCTCGATGGGGAGCGAGATCTGGATCTGAGTTGATCTGGATCAGAGTCTAGCTCGGACTCGGACCCAAAGAAACGAGCGTTTGACCTTCTCAGCACCTCTGAACAACCAGAGCTTTGGGGGTCCTGCCCTGGGTCTGGCTCCGCCTCTGCAAGG